TTATGTTACTGTTACATTATTATTTTTAAATAAATTAGTAGATTAATAGAGGAAGAAACTTATGAAGTAAATACAGAAGCTGCCTTGCCAATTGATTTTATTAATCTATAAAATATAAAATTTGTATTTTGAGGAACCTTTTTGTTGACATTATTAGAAACATTCTGTATGTCTTTTACATTACTTTTTAAATAATATTAATAAATATTAATAATTAATAAATATTAACATTATTTTCTTGAAAAAAAGTTATATTGTTGTTAAAGTTAAATTACATTATGAGTGACAACGATGCATAAAATTATGAAATTGGATGGTCGGTTTATGATCGCTATATTGATTTATGATTTTGAGATAACATATAATTTTTAATTATATATATCTTTTTAATTACATTGCGTGCGGCTTATTGGATATTGTATGTTGTTACCAAGTTTTAAAAGATGAGTATTAATAGAATTGACATTTTCTCAAAATTCAGATATTTGAGATCAATATTTTTCTAAATCATATAATGAATTATTAAAAATTTGTAGTCGTCTTGTTCGTCGAAAATTTTAGTTTACATTACTATATTTTCTTTCTTATTCTTGTTCTATAAAAATTAGAAATATTATGATAGATAAACAATCAATGTATACGTTGTTCGCGTTTTATGAACATGTATATTTAATAATTTTCTCGAAAATTATACGGGGACTTAAGAGAGTGACTTACGCTACAATAAAAGTTCAAAAAAAGCTTTCTTTAATGGATTTTTTTAAAAATAATAAGTTTTAGAAAAAATATCAATTTGTACATTAATCGGAACTTTGAATAATTTAAGAACTTTTGTACATAAAAATATAAAGATACGTTTGGTGATGTTGCACAACATTGTAGATCCCTGTGTTCATGGAACATAGTTCATCAGCGACGTAGAAAACTCAAGTTGTGACTATTGGAAATGAAAAATTCTTGAAAATTTCGGAACTATATGAATGTAGTTTTAGCATAGAGATTTTTTAAAATAATTTTTTCACAAAATGGTAACACACTTTAAAACAAAGTTCAAAATTTCACTAGATTTTCATATTTTTAAATACATATTTTTAAATACAATTAAATATATATTTTTGTGCTTAGGCACTAAGAATTTAGAAAAAGAATCCTTGTTCCTTAACTAAAATGATTTATTTTATAAAATTAAAATTTGGAGCCAAGTCTCGAAAATTGTCCTAATTATAAATGCCAGTAATTAAAGAAAAGTGATTTCGAGAAAAACGCGTTTAACAGATTATTATATAACGCGTTAAACGCGTTTTAATAGATTATTTATTAGTCGAATTTACTAGTTTATTATAGTGAATATATCGCCGATGAAACAAACACGACATTGATAACATGGTCGAGAGAATATTTGTAGCCTAAATACATGGGCAGGGTTTAAGTTAGGCTAAAGGTCGTCTTAGGGTAAACGGCTGCGCATGCTTTCACTATAATTTATACAACTTGAGAAACACTTTGAATTCCATTAAAATCTTTCTTCTTTTAAGAGTGTACTTCTAAAATATCAATCTTTGGAAAAGTGTTAAATTGATTTTTTGAAAATATTATTGTAGCGTATCTCTTTAAGGATTCACACATATGAAAAAAATATATCAATAAATACTTTTTAATTATATATATATTATTATATATATATTATATATACTAATTATATATATATATATATATTAATTATATTATTATATATATTATTATATATATTATTATATATATATTATATATACTTTTTAATTATATATATATTAAATATTATTTTTTAAAATATTATTTATTCTCATACTATATCACGTTGAAGTTAGAGTGCGTTTATGAATTCAAATGAAAAAAAATTTTTTCACAATGATGATTCTAATTTTTCATGCAATTACGCCGATTGCTCATTATCGAAATAAACGCTGTGACAATTTATTATCTTCTATTAGAAATAAAATTGTATTACAACAGAATGGAACTCTGATCACTTTTTAAATATTTATCTAATCTTTTTTCATGGACTGTTGTGGATTTTTTGGATAGTTCTCTTTAAAAATAGTTCTATCATATATTGAAATTCAGCATCTTTATTTTCAGCTTGTTATCGTTTCAAGCAAGCCTCAATGTCATAACGAATAGCAAGTGAAACTTGTAAAATGTATATGTTACATTTTGCAATGTGTTACCTCGCGCAGTAATCGGAAATTTTCATCACGTGTAGCAGCTGTAGAATTTAATTATTAACGAGAATACAAAATACTAGCATCCTTTCGCGTGCGTCACAGGGCTTCCGCAATTCGCTAAATATTAAATCGTCGCGGTAACACAGAAGCGCGCGTTTTATTAAAGCAGCTGGATGCAAGGGAGAATATGAAATTATCTCCGCCTGAAGAAAAACATTTGTGACTAAACCGAAGAAATACGCAACTATTGTCGTCTTTTCATCTTAAACAGTCTTATCTTAAACAGTCTTATCTTAAAATCTTGTCGAATTTCAACTTCATTTACACATTTCTTTTTCGATTTCAGATTTTAATGAAATTATAATTCAAAGTTTAAAAGTTATCTGCGATATTAACCGGAAATTTTTTAAGTATTTTTGAAAAAATCTAGATCACAGTCGGAAAAATCGATAAACGTTAAGATCGCGTTGTTGTGGAACGTCCTGTAGAGTGCAGAGCAAGACAAGTATGGCAGCATATAACTAAAGTATAATGCACGTTGCTTTGCGTGAGACGCCCATCCCATCGGTCTGGTCGAGTCGCGCCTCACGTCGTGCATCACGTCCTGAAGCGTGCAGCAGCACGACGAAGGTGCGTATCGGAGGATGAGTGCGGAAGAAGAGGGTGCTCTGGAAAGAAAAAGAGAAAGGAGAGAGGACATGCGGCTCTTGAAAGGCCCCTCTTATTACAGTCGGCAAGCAAGCGCGACCGGCGCTTGCCGTTGCTCGCGCGTGATTGTGCGTGTTGCATCAAATTAATGTACGCGTAACGCGTAACGTGCGACGTGCACGCTGGACTACAGCGTAAAGCTGAATGGATCTTCTATGTACCTCCATAACATGTACACGCACATGCGAGCATGTCGTACGGAGATGTGTACTCGTCGTGTATTCGCGAAAGTATCAGCCGCACCTTCGCCGCGAACGAGGCGAATTAATTGGAGATATCGGATCGTAGTCATATTTAATGAGAAACATACGACAATCCATACGATAATCCGTTAGTTTCTTTCTTAAAGACAAAGAGAAACCACGATATAAAATTAATATTAATAAAAAGCGTAATCGATTATTTTCGAAATCTTCAAGAATTGATCAAATTGAGATTGAGCAATAAATATCTCTTTAAAATGGATTAGTTGCAGGGATGAAGAAGGAATTCTTTTTTATAGACACAGTCCGTCTATAATCCACAATAAAACTATTATTACGAAGCTAATAGCACACAGAAAAACGCAGTAAGATTTTATCAAATTGTTCAATGTTCTAGCTGAAAATTGAAAACGTATTACTTAAAAATTCTCGATTACAATTGATCTATTTGCTTAAGTTTTATTTTTATATTTTTACGTTTTTCTATGTGCCACTAGTCTAAGGTTCGATCCAATTGCGAAGCGCGTGTACAGGCGCCAACGATACGAAACTCCATAGGTCGAGCGTGAAGGGTTTTTCCTGCGCGGCGATTAACTTCCAGCGGCGGCGGCGGCGGCGG